GCTGTGGAACACTAGACTGAATGGGAAAATGGCTCTGATCACTGTTTTAAACTCTCATCTTTCTGTTAAAAAATGCATATGTATATACATACACACGCACATATATGTGCACATATATATTTACACACACGCGAATGTCACGTAAGTTGAAGCTAGTACTGGGTTTATTTGGGTTTAAGCCATTGTGCCTTTAGCAATCATATCCCCATCACCTATCTTCTTATCCCTCCCCAGCTGGCTCAGCTGCCCACACCCCTCTACAGCTAGATCAGCAAGGTTACATGCTGTCTCCTTGGTACCATTTCCGTACCAGGACGTCTCCTAACACACCCTTTGATTACAGAGCTAGTAATGGATGACTGCAATTCAGGGTGCAATGAAGCGGAACAACTGAGTGTATGTGTTCTTCAGATAACACAAAAGAGAATTCTACAAAGCCATAAAACCGCTAGGCATTATGTTAAATCATTTCAGGAGTGAGTCAGTCCACAGTGGCTCATGCCTTGCAATTCCAACATTCAGGAGGCACAGGCAGGAGGAGCGGGAGTTCAGAGCCAGTCTCAGATACATACTGAGTCCAAAGGCATCCCTGGCTGTAGGAGACTGTGTCTCCAAAATAACAAAATAAAAATAAGTAAATAAGATACTTATAAGCAATATTATATATATGAATTACTCATTCTTTTAGTAATTAAAAGTGGTTTAAAATTCAAAGTCATCCTACATTTTAGAGGAAGATGATAAAGAGACATGACTTTTTAAATTTATGAATAGATAAAACATTTGAGATATTTTACATAATCTCCCTAGCACTAAGAAATTCACACTTCCATTGTAGAGATAATAAGGGCACAACCAGGATGAAGGCCAAGTACACAGAACCAAGAAACAGGGGATGTGAAACTGCCCTGGGAGCGGCGGAGGGCTGGGGTTATCAGCATTATCTGTAGGAGTCTGTCACAGGCTTGGAAGGAGGAAGAGTCAGGAGAAAGGGAGGAAGTGGGGCAGAAAGCAATGGTCTGAGCCAGAGCAGCCAAGAAAATGACCACTGAACAGACACCAGCAGCTAGCCCACACTCAGGACACCGCCCATCCTTCCCTTCACTCAGGACAGTGACACACACCAGGCGCGACAGCCAGGGTCAGATAGTTAGAATGGCCCTCCCTCCGCAAACTACAGCTCATATTCCTTAATCCTTGGGTCACTGCAGACACCCCTAAACTCAGGACCATTTCCCCCCTCCTCTGCCTCCCTTCATGCAGCCAAGTGCCAGACATTCCATGACATCTTTCTTGGGTTCCCAAGTTACAGGTGAATCAAGAGTTTAAAATGCATGGAGAATTTTTCACAGGACAGTCCCTCCATGCCCCCCCCCACCCCTGGGTCTGTGCCCCGGAAACCCTCTCCTGACTTTTGTGCACCGGCATGGGCCAGATTTCCACAGTGTGGCCACCTCGTCTACAAATGCCCTCCCACCGTTTTGCATATACCTCAATAAAGCCACCCTACAAGGGTTCTGTTTCAAGGGACCCCATCCTGGGCAAGGGGTACATCTTGGCCTGGTTCTAATATACACCCTCCTGCACGTAGCACAGAAAGGCTGTGCAGCGAATGCTGACAAGGTCTAAGAGACCAGCCCTCGATCTGCGTGTGATTCAACATGAAATGGACCAAGGGAGTAGTAGATGGATAGGTTAGTCTTTCTAAGACAGCGTTAGCGAAAGGAACACAGTCTGAAGAGGAATGGCCGGACCATTACCTCACATGGCCTCTATCCACTTCCCAAAGGGCATGATAATCAGGATGAGAACCATCATCACCAAGTCAACTATCAGAAACAGACGGTAAACCTAAAGCTGTCAGGCACCTACCATCTAACCTAACTAGGAAGCCAAACCCACCAATCAGCTCTCCATATCAAGCCAATCCATCTGAACCCTGAGTTCTTCCTCATCGCTTCCATGTCTAGAACCACTTTCCTTTGGCAGAGTTTGAACCATAGACAATGCAAGAAAATAAAAACTTAAAAAAAAAAACCTACTATACAACCATTTGAGGAATGAGAAGCATTAAAGAAACGTATTAATCAAAAGCTTCTACATTCTGCTGTAAAAGCTGTGGCTATCACTTCTTAAGGGGTTGGGGATGGGACGAGTGCCAATGCAGAAAGGAAGGTCACAGAGCGTGTGGAAGTTAGCGCCCTCTTTCTGCCATGTGGGTCCGGGAATTGAACTCAGGTCCTAGAGCTTGGTGGCAGATGCCATTATCCATGAATTCATCCCACCTGTCTTATTTCTATCACTTCCTAAATCAAGAAATCAGCTCACTGGTTAATTGGAGGTGGGGACTTGTGGAGACAGCCAAGGACAGCTCTCTGCAGCACCAAGCACTTGCAATTACAGTGGACTCCACTAGGGCCCTCCCACAACTGCTGCCTACACAGGATTTCTGTGGCTGGTTGGTGAAATGGAGAGAACAAGCTTTGCCCGTTGGTTCATTCATCAGCATGCCTTTTAGGCATAATTTCCGGTGGCCACGCCATAAGCCAACAAGAAAGACACGGTGGGAAGTTTACCACTTTTAATTCTCTATATTGGTTTATTACACATAAGGAGGCCAACCTGGCACCCAAGTACCAAACAGCTTCAAGAACAACCTGAATTAATTGTTTATATAGCTCTATAACCCAGTCTCCCAGAAGGCTTGACTTCACACGTGTAGGTGAAACTTCTCTATGATGCTATCATCTAGTTAAAAAGGTTTTACTTTCATTGCTTGCGGTCAGCCTTTGATGACGTCAGGGCCTCGTGCCAGAGTAGTTTTCCCGCTCTGAATTATAAAGAGAAATTCACCAGAAAATGCAGATAATTGATCATACTTTCAACGATCACACAACTATCAGAGTAGTGACAACTACCGAGGAAGTCATTAATCGAGAGCTTTAGCACAATTTGAGGCATGGTTACTGCTACAACCTTCTTCCCACCAGGGTCTCCTCCTCCCCAACAGTTGGAAATCAGAATTACTGTGTAGTCGCCTGTAAACCACTGCCTACTTCAGTAACCGCCAAGGAAGCACATTCAACCATTACCATTTCTATGACATAGACACATGGACAAACGGTTTCTGACACTAAGGTCACTGCACTCCACATTAAAAGTGTAATTCGATACAGAACAACCAAAAGTCGCCAGAACCCGCTTGAATATTTGTTGTCTGGCAAAATCGGTTGTCTGTCTGCTAGCTACACTAAAATGTCAATCTAAATACTGGGGGAGGGGGGGTGTCGGTGAGAAGAGGCAGAGGAAATTTAACTGCATCTGCTGTTTTACTTCACGGAATTACATCGGGCACTAAAAGCAAATCCAGCCTCTTGCTGGGCCCTGAAGAGGAACCTATGACGCCTAATCATGTAACCTAATCATATAACAGGGACTAAGACCAAATGAGATTTTCTTTCTAAATTGAAATCTGACGGAGCCAAGTAATGACACTGAGTCACTTGTTTATGTCAACGTCCATTCCGGCTTGGTTCTCACTTGAGTACCTCACGACGATAGACAAGAATATTTTCCTAAGAAACTTGATGGTGTTCATTTGAGAGTAACTTTCTAACGCTGCTCCCACGGGGTGGTATTTTTAGGTAATGGTCACTTATTATCCAATCCCACAGAACAGTCGCATCCTAGATCGTCTGCCTGGCAGTGGCCAGGGGCAGAGCCTTAACTTTTGCACAAGTCGGGTAAATCAGAAACTTGGGCTCAACAGGGTGAGGCGCCAAAGAGGTCAACCTGTGCGCACTTTTCTCTCCTATTAAAAAAGGAATACTGTTTGCTCTCTCCACAGAGATGAGATCGCTCTGTCAGAACGCAAGGCCGAGGAGTAAGTCTTGGAGTGTAATCCCCAAGTTTGTCTTAGAGCGGGGTGTTATCAAATTCCTTTGATTTAAATGATTTGTGGGTAAAATCTGAAAGGAAGGAAAAGCCACACCCAACTCCTAAATTTACTTTGTAAAGTGTTTGGAGGCCGTGAGAAGGAACGGTTTGACGTGCAGGAGGCCTGTGGAAACGGGCCACCGTCCTCCGCCCGGCGTCGCCCCGCGTCCCTGCCCCGCGCCCGCCGCTCCAGCCCTTTTGTTTTTTGTCTCTGCGGGCCGGTGCGGGGCTGCGGGCGGGACCGGCGTGAGGTGCAGCCTGCGGCCTCCGCGGCACCGAGTCAGGTGTGTCGTGGACCCGGGGGCAGGGACCCCACAACACCGTCCGGAGCGGACGCAGGAAAAGGCACCGAGTTGCTTTGGCTTCCGCGCAGAGGCGTCCGCCCCGGATCCCCGCGCCCCAGCCCCAGGCACTCACCGATGTCTCCATCCTCATCGTCGTCCTCTTCCAGCTCCATGTTCAGCAGAACGTTCCTACTCATCATCTGCATGTCTCCCCAATACCGGCGCTCGGCTCCGCTCGGCGCTGCTCGGCTCCACTCGGCTCGGGCCGCAAGCTCCGCTCAGCCCTCTAGGCAGTTTACTGCGCTCCGCCCGCGCTCTGCTTCTCTAGCCGCGCAGCTAGCGACTGAGCATGCTCAGAGAGACTCCACCACTCCCGCCCCAGATCAAACCGCCCCGGTTTGGGGCGCCCAGGAGGAAGGGGGGGGGGGGGGGGGGCGGGGGATAGGCTGGGTTCACCCGGCTACGCTTGCGGCACGCGCTGCGGCTGCAGATACAGGAGGGCTTCGAGGGGCTCGCAAGGGCTTTTAAACTATTCTGCAGAACGGCAAGGAGACAGAATGTGCCAGATTACTGTGGAGCAGACTACACGTGCGCACGGAGTGCCCGCTGTCCGCCGGTGGAAGCAATCGCACTGAGTGGACGCGGGGTGCAGCGGGTGCTGGCGATGCAAATCAGACCTCAAAGCCAGGGACCAGGCCGAACACGTCACAGCTACGTGTAAACTCTCCTATAGGGCAATGTGGGAAACCACAGTACCAGGAAGAACAAAGAAATGAAAGGGAAAAAGGAAGGCGGAGAGTGAAGGAATGCCTCTCTGAAAACCCAAGGAGTCTGGAGCGCAGGAACGAAGGAAGTCTGCCCCAGAAACGTAAGGAAGCAGAATTTCAGGGCCTTTGGGTAACTTGTCTGCAGAGCTGCTATCAAGGTCGCTGGTGAAAAGTCGTTTTTCTGCTGTGCTGGATGAAGCTTACTGACTGGTAGAGCATTTGCGTCCTGAGCCCATTGCTAGTGCATGGTCCAGCGCTGTTCAATGACACTAACTCTGCTGCGTATTTTATTCTTTCACGAGCTTACTCTTTTTCCTCTTTCCCCTCTCAGAAGCTGGGAATCCAGCCCAGCACCCCTGGCATGCTAGGGGAGCACTGTACTCATATAGTTATTTTTAATGGTCTCACTTGAAAAAAAAATCAAGATCAATATTAACGTAGGACTATAACCACAAATATGCACTAAGACAATATGCACTAAAAGAGTGCAAATTACTTTTCAGAAAAGGACCAGGAAACGCTATCCCTGCTTCTTAGGGTACAGTTTTAGTAAAGAAGACCACTTCTAATATAAAAACTAGCAGAGTTATGGAGATGTTGAGATGGGGGGATCGTAGGGAGAGCCAGCTGTGGCCTGTAACCCCAACTATGACCTCTATCCCAGCACTGCAAGGGCTGAAGCAGGGGATTCTGAAGCTAGCAAAACTGGTCTTCAGGACAGAGCTGGAGGGAGGGGAGAGGGGGAGGGGTGCCTTTACTGAACTCTTCGCTCTAGGGGCATTTGAGTTACTCAAGCAGTTTCCAGGTTCCTCATTCAGCAAATACTTACTCAGTGCGTTTTAGGCGCTGCATAGAGTTCTAAATGGGTCACAGTCGTCTTTTCGGTCTCAAGCTACCAGTGATTGCCGTTCTTTCACTTGAGTCCCAGCCCAGCGGGCCAGCATTTTGTCTGAAACCACACCGAGAGATGGTGTTAGGGACAGAGTCTGTACTATGAGTGTGTCCTGAGGGGCACCCACACCCCTTCCTCCAACACTCCAAGTCTCATCAGTGACCTGCCACGGTTCTCAGCAAATGTTCGGTGTTTTCCAACCCAAGACTTTGCTCAAAGCTAGTTCCTACTTAGAAAATTCTTAGGGGTTCAGGCTGAGATAAGTTTCAGTGAGTCGTTTGGGATCCTTAACAGATTTTAGAGATTCCATGTACTGTCTTTCTTGATAAATGTTGCAGAGACATTGCTAGTCTTTTATGTAGATATGGCTTTTGCCACAGGAAACTAAATTATTTACTTAGGCCGGCTGTGGGTCTATTATTAGCATACCCCATTTGATCCACTAATGCATTCCTACAGTTCTTCTCATGCATTGTTTTTTTCAATTGATCAATATATGTAGCAAAAATAATCCAATAGGCCTGTTTAGGAGCCACACCCTTCACCCTAAAGGACAGTCTATATTATAGTTTGTGAGAGAAAATGCTCATGTGCAGCATATTTGATTCTGCAAAGCTTTGCCAAGTGAGGAACCCAGACCAAGTACTCTCTCCCTCATGTGTCTTCGGCCATAAGGATGCCTCGTTGGCCCAGCCTGTGAATGTCGGTACTTCTCCTTCCCTAGAGAACGGATGACACTCCACAGATTTAACTATGACAAGACAGGAGAGGTCTATGGGCATTCAGTGTGCCTCTATATTTCAAAGAAGTTTCTGAAACCTGAGGTTTTGTAGCCCTACAGTTGTTATCTTGAATTCCTTCTTATTTTTATTTTACTTATTTATTTATTTATTTATTTATTTGGAGACAGGGTTTCTCTGTGACCACAATCAAATCACCCAGACTATAAAGAGTAAAGAACATCTCACTCCTGCCTAGGCACAGAACTGTGATCTCAGTCATGTGAACCGCAAGGCCTGGCTTGACTTCTGCCCCTTGTCAAAGCGTAGTTTGTCAAACCAGCACCAGATGAAACAGAGGCCCTGGAGCTACTGAACCTTCTATGCTCTTTGACTAAAGGGTTGTATTTTTTTTTTATAACTTTACAGTTTTAAAATTCTAACATTTAAGCTTTCTTTTTAATTATTTTTGTATGCAGTTTCTGTGTGTGTGGATTAGTGCATTTAAGTGTAGTGCCTTAGGAGTTCAGAAGAGGGCATCAGGTCCCTCAGATCTGGAGCTGGGAACTGCTTGGCATGGGTGCTACACTGCTCTTAACCACCCTGTCATTTTTATCCTGTAACTCTTGTGTGACTTTTTCTGGAAAGGCATGAGCAAATGCCTCCTTAAATCAGATACAGAGCCCAACAGCAGACCCAAGCAACACCTCCGCAGGACTCTGCATATTGGAATTGCTTATGGAATTCATTACTGGGGCATGAATGGCTTAAGGGCAGTTGCATCACTGAAGAGCCCATCCCCCCCCCCCCCCCCCCCCCCGCACAGGTGATGAGGAAAGAAAGCTTCCTTGTGAGAGCTCTGCTTCCCGGTGCTCCCTGAATGACCTGTGTGTGGTTCACCAGGTCAGAACCTCCTTCAAGCAACTCAGACCCAGGAAATCTCTCTTCCCCCAACTGTTACTGTTTACATAACCTTGGGGGTGGGGCTTCAGACTCCTACTGAGGAGGCTGACTTCCTGACTTTCAAGGAATAGGAAGACCCAGAAAAACTGTAAGATTAATGCATGCATCTACCGTCTGAAGGGCAAGTTCTGGGCAGAAGGAAAAGTCAATGCAAATGTTTCCAGGAGATGCAGCAAAGAGGATGTAGCCTTTTTCGAGGAGATGCAGCAAAGAGGATGTAGCCTATTGGGACGGTGAGAAGATGCCACTTAGGTGCCACTTAGATCAGCAGTAACTATATGCCAGTGCAGCTTTGACTGCGTATGTTCCTCAAAAGGTACTGGAACTAAGTGTTACCAACAACATGGAAGGGGACCATTTATCAGGAAGGATAAGGCAAGAATTTTGGTGTCTCCCTAAGCAGCACTGTAATTCTACAAGATTCCAAGTCTAACTCAAGGCATTAAGAGGTCCATTAGAACTGCACGTAGTGATGTTCCCAACGCTCCAGGCTTCTTCCAGCCAGGGCAACTCAGGGAAATCCTGCCTCTAAAAAGCGTGTGTGTGTGTGTGTGTGTGTTAGTCAAGGCACTAACTGTGGTCACCGTGGATACTGTAAATCTCTGGGTCTTATTTTTCTAACTGAAACACTTCCACTTTATTCTCTGCTCTTGTGAGATTGACCTTTCCAAATTCTGCAGTGGCCATAACACTTAGTATGCTGAGGCAGGAGGATCATTTGAGCTCAGGAGTTTCATCACCTTAGGAAACATAGCGAGATCTGGTTTCAGTCAGTTCATGGAATCAAAATCATGTCATCTGTGTCTCTCCGTGACTCCTTATTTCAGAGTTTAACATCCTCAAGGTTTCTTTGTATCACGTTAAAGAGCATTTCCACCTGTTTACAGGTTGATTATTCTATTATGTATATGCCATGTCTTCAGGCTTTTGTTTGTTTAGGGATTTTGTTTTGTTTTTTGTTTGTTTGGTTTTCAAGACAAGATTTCTCTGTATAACCTTGGCTGTCCTGAAACTTGCTCTGTAGATCAGGGTGGCCTTGAACTCAGACATTCACCTGCCTCTGCCTCCCAGTTGCTGAGATCAAAAGCAGGCACCACCACCCTAACAGTGGTTTGGGGGTTTGTTTTGTTTTTAAGATAGGAGTCTCACTTGGTGACCCAGGTTGGATTTGAACTTGCTATGTAGTGCAGAATTCTGAATTGTTATATGTAGAATTCTGAATTTTCCTATGCCTACCTCAGGACCTCTGGGATTACGGCATGTGATACTGCACCTGGCTTTTGACTTGCTATCTTGACTGTTGTGACTAGCACCAAAAGCACACATGAGGGTAGGTACTTTCTGGCACTGATCCCATCTCTCTTGGATATGGACCTAGTTTGGGGGTTGCTGGATCGTGTGCTAGTTTTAGTCTTCAGTTTTTGCAGAACCTCCAAGCTGTTTTCCCCAGTGGCATTACCAATTTACACTGCGAGCAGTTGCTTCAAATGGTTCTCTTCTCTGTCCCTGGCACTTCTTTCCTTTTGTCTTTTTGAATAATAGTCGTTGTCAAAGACGTGCGCTCATTTTAATTGCCTTTTTTTAGTGTTTAGTTTGAATTGTTCAGAATGTTTTCACATACCTATTATCCATTTGTGGACTTGCTTTTGATAGTTGCCTGTTGAGGTCTTAAGACCACTTTCCAGTTTTAAGTCTTACTCTTGAGTCTTTTAAGCAGTTTGAGTTGACCTTTGTATGCGAGATGAGATGTGGATCTGAATCCCATTTGATGCTTCTGCAGATGAATATCCGGTTGTTCTAAGAGCATTTAGGAGACTGTCATTTCCCACAGTGTGTTCTCCACACATTTGTCCAAAATCAATTGGCTGTAAGAATGTGGATTTATCTCAGAGAGCGCAACTCTGCTCCATTGGCCAATGGGAGCTGTGCTTTGTTCTGCTTTGGTTTTACGACAGAGTCTCAGGATTTCGTCTCCACTGCCCTGGATCTCACTATAGAGCCCAATGTGGTGGTCTGAATGAGAAATGCCCACCCTGTAAGCTCAGGTTCTGGAACACCTCATCCCCAGATGGTTATGCCTTTTGGAAGGGTTTGGGACCAGTAGAGGGCAGAGGTTGCTGGAGGAAGAACCTCACTGGGGGTGGGTGTTGAGAGTGTATAACCTCTCCCCACTTCTAATTGACTCTCCTTGCTTCCCGTGCAAATTGAAAATGTGATCTCCCAGGCTCCCGATCGGGACCCCTGTTGCCATACCTCCCCACCATTAAGACTCTCCCTCCAGATCCAAAAAACCAAATAAACTCTTTCTTCTGTAAACTGCCTTTTGTCATTGTGTTAGCTATTCCTGGTTGACTTGACAACATCTGGAATTAACTAAAACCCCAAATGGAGGGTACACCTGTGAGAGATTTCTGCTTAACTTGAAGTGAGAAAGTCTATTTCTAATCTGGATCTTCGAGGTAACAAGGCACAGCTTTAATATTAGGTCTAACCTGGGCCACCCTTTCTACGGAAGCCTAGATAAGGACATGAAAGAAGGAATCTTGTGATCCTGTCTGCTTGCTCTCACCTTGCTTCCAGGTCCACTCCCTTTACTAACATTAGAGCCTACTTCAGGACTCCAGTGTATACAGAAGACCAGCTGAGACAGCCAGCCTTGGAGACTGACTACTGGATTCTTAGACTTTCATGGCCAGCCATTGTTGGGTTAGCTGGACCACAGCCTGTAAGTAACTCCAATAAATCACCTTTCTAGATAGATAGATAGATAGATAGATAGATAGATAGATAGATAGATAGATGATGGAGGAAGGTCATTGGTTAAAAAAAATAAAGAAACTGCTTGGCTGGCCCTCATAGGTTAGAACACAGGTGGGTGGAGAAAACAGAACAGAATGCTGGGAGGAAGAGGAAGTGAGCTCAGACTCGACAGCTCTCCTCTCGGGAGCAGACGCCTCAGAAGAGACGCCATGCCCTGCTCCCGGGCAGACACATGCGATGAAGCTCCGACCCAGGATGGACGTAGGCTAGAATCTTCCAGGTAAGACCTGTGCTCACAGATTATTAGAGATGGGTTGATCGGGATATCAGAATTAGCCAGTAAGGGCTAGAGCTAAAGGGCCAAGCAGTGTTTAAAAGAATACAGTGTCTGTGTAGTTATTTCGGGGCATAAGCTAGCCAGGCAGCCGGGGTGCTGGGGACGCAGCCCCGCCGCTCCTATTACTATAGATAGATAGATAGATAGATAGATAGATAGATAGATAGATGGACAGATAGATAGATAAAGGAGTTTAATTCTATAATTTCTGTTACTTTAGAAATTCCTGACTAATACAGTCATGATATTTTATCACAGCAATAGAAAAATAGTAATACAACCAGGATGGCCTCAAATTTGCATCAAATCTCCCGCCTCTGCCACCTGAGTGTGACCCTGTAGTTGTGAGCCCCAACACATGGCTACTGTCGGAGAATGTGTGTTTCTTTTCTTTCTGACGGTTGGGGATTGAACCTTGGGCCTGTGCTTACACGTGTTCTACAACTCAGAAGAAACACATCTTTGTGAGTATATTCAATTCCCAGAATGACCTTCGTTGCACCTTTACTTCATTTGCTGAGCCTTTATGGCCTACACATCAGAAATCTTTATCCCTTGGCCCTTTTAGAGAACGTTTCCTGACCCCTGGATTATTCTGTCCCTTCCCTAACTTACTTTATAGAACTCTACTTTTGAAATGGTACTGTTTCTCTTTGTGAGTAATCTATACATAGTCTTCTTCATAGATAATTATAAAGAACCACTTATTGATGTATTGATTTTTATTCACTATTTTCAATAATTACACATCTATCCCTAGAGATCATCATGGAAGAAATCACCAAAGACTTCACAGGATAAGGAAGAAAGCTGCCCAAAAGGCTCCAGATGAATGGTCAGGTGTCAAATGCCCTTTTATTTATAATGGTTTTGAGTTTCTTGATATCGGCCCTTTTCATTTGGCCTAAGCTGGCCTTGGCTTCAAACTCTATTCTTCTGCCTTAGTGTCCCAAGGGATTTCTTACGGATTATAGGAATATTCTACCATGCCTTCTTAAATATTTTCTTGACTGAATTTGGAAAGAAAACAAGATGTTATTCAATAAAGGAATTATGACTCAGCCACATTTTTATTGCAAGGAACTAACACAAGACCCCTCATGGTCATGGATTGGAAGACTAAATATTGGGGTGTCTCCATGCCTCCTCTGAGCCTTGGGTGATCTTGAGCCCCACCCTGATGGCATGGGTTCAGAAGGGCTGAGAAGCTTTCTTCTGGTTACTCACCTTCCTAGTGGTGATCCTAGGTGCCACTTCCACTAATCTTCCCTCCGTCTGCTTTAGAGACCAGATCTCTCCCTGATACATTCCATTCTTTGTGTCTGATGTGAATTTTTTCTCCTCCACAGTGGCCTCACTCAGCAATTCTTACTGTGTTTCTTAAGCGCTCCAAGCCTCTTCATGGCAGAAGCATCCACATTTCTGATATTTATTAACTATACATGTCCACCTCTGGGTTGTCTTTATTGGCACCTCTGCTTAAGTATGAAGGGTAAGGAACTAAAAGACCCATGATGCTCATGTTGGCAACCAGGCTGTAGGGCTCCAGACTCCTGGGAGAGGAAATCACAGGGACTGTGGACGCTCTGTGTGTTCTCTGTACCCTGATGTACCTGCACCAGCTCAGTACGTTCTCAGTCTAGGACAGTACTCCTTGCCCAGCAGCCTCTGAGCATCACCCTGTTAAAGCCAATACCATGGCCATCCTGGGTCCCTGCCTCGGGGTAAATGAGTAACAGGAGGCTGGAGACCTGTGAAGAGAGAATACAACCAACTCACTGAAAAGAGACTGGAGGAGAACATGAAGGGGTTTTGTTGTTTGTTTTGGTTAAAAACAACAAAACAACATAAAAGTGATCACCTCAACATTTGTGTGTGCAGTTCAGAAGCATTACATAATCCACACAGCTGTTTAATGGATCCCTACAGCTTTTTTTTTTCCCCTGAAGAACTGAAACTCTGTGCTGTTTATGTAATCTCCCCTGCCCTGCACACAACCTTCTGTTGAGTATAAACAAAGCAACTTTATATAAGTGGGATGATACAGACGGTGTTCATCCATATTGGTTTATTTTACCTAGCATAATGTCTTCAAGGTTCAGATGCTATTTCAGATAAAACTTCTCTTTTTCTCTGGAGAACAGAACCCAAGGTCACTAGCAGGCATGAGAATCTGAAAGTTAATGCAGAAAGAAGGAACGGAATATTTACTTAAGACTCCTAGAAAGAACATTGGTAGAGAACTAGCAAAGAAGACACCAAAAACCATGCAGAGGTCATAGGATTAAAGGGAAACCTGCCAGGATGGTCATGTGGGGGTAGTTTTGGTGTGGGAATGTTTTCCCTCATTTGTTTTATGGAGCTGTTGATTTCTAGAACAGTTCATGTCTGAGGTATTTGTGACAAGTAGGTGGGCAGTTGGCTATAACTAGGGTTGAGTTTGACTAGATGAGGTCAGCAGGAGGAAACGGGAAAGGAATGTAGGGTACAAGCAAGGGGATATCTTCGTTGCTGCATCTTGGATGCTATGAGGCAAAGCAGAGAGGTTGAGCATGAAAAGATCAATACATTGTAGAATGGGAAGGTAGGCTGTGGAACCGCAGGCATTATTTCATCTCTTTGGCTTCTTTCCTTTCCAATTCTTTCTCCCTTTGATGGTCAGAATGGTCCTCGTGGTGTAAAAATCAGTGCCATCACATGTTTCAAGCTCTCAAGACTCTCAGTGTGCTGTGGGTAGTGGCTAAACTTGTCACAACATGAGACTTTGTAAACACTCCCAGCCCCATTCTCAGAATGTCTTCAGCATCTTCACCTATTGGAGGGCTTCATCCCCTGTCACACCGCCATGCTACTATTTCTACTTGGGTCACTTCTCTCCATCTCTCTACTTGGCTTTCCCTTCTCAGCTGGGTTGCAGCTTAAACTTTGATTCCTTCCTCGATCTTCCCTGGTCCATAGCGAATGCCTCTGGGGCACACTTGAAGAGCAGCTACTTTCACCCTATTCTAACATTTAATTTATGCTCTTCATAAAGTTCACCTCCTGGTTCACTTATATCTGAACTAACTGTATGTTCTCTTCAGGAAAGGGACCCTGTGTGAAGTAGGAAGTAACCAAGAGTGGACAGCTTTGTTCTGGAATAAAGCTTGAGGACTCAATTCTTGGCTTTTGCTGACATGACAGGCACCAGGTCTGTTTGCTAAGTTGTTAGATGGTTAGCTCTATCTCCTATCATGTATTATCTTAAATATATTGTAATATTCATTCAGCCTCATGGTTTTAAAATAGTACCCTCCATATCTTGATGTTATACATCCGTATCTCAAACTTGGACATTTAAGTGCTCCATTTTCTCACCCCAACCCTCCACTGCACATTCTGACTTTGTGAAAACAGACTTCTTAACTCTAAAAACTACCCAAGTCACCCCCATGTTGTCTCTTGCCAGATGGTCTTCATTACCGATAGTCGATCCAATCTACTTACCAATTGTCCACATGTTCCTTATGTTGTGATGCCTAGGTTCATATCAACTTGATGCAAGCAAGCTAAAGTTACCTGACAGGAGGAAACCTCAATCAAGAAAATATTTCCATAAGATATGGCTGTAGGCATTTTCTTAAATAGTGATTGGTGGGGGAGGAACCAGGCCATGGTGGGTGGTACCATTCCTGGGCTGATGGTCCTGGGTTCTATAAGAAAGCAGGCTGAGCAAACTGTGAGGAGCAAGACAGTAACCTGCACCCCTACATGGCCTCTGCCTCAGCTCCTGCCTCCAGGTTCCCGCCTGTTTGAGTTCCTGCCCTGACTTCCTTCACTGATGGAATGTCACCTGGGTTTGGAAGCTGAATAAACCCTTTATTCCCCAAGTTCCTATGTTGTGGTGTTTCATGACCAATAGTAACCCTAACCAAATTATACCATAATCAGTGCTGTTCCCTTATGGAAAAATGGAATCCATGCTCTCTCACCCTGGGTGTGGGCACAGTCTGGACAGCCTTGAGCATCATAATACAGAGGAAGAGATAACAGGTGGCTTCCAAGGCTACACAGTTGGGGAAAAAAAATGAATTTTTCTACCTGGTTCTCCTGGTTCCCCTTCTTTGGGGGATTTTCTCCTTTAGAAACCAGTCACCAATGCTGTGACAAACCTCAGACTCTGTGGGTGGAGAGTTTGTGTGTGTTTCAGTTAATGGGCACAGGTGAGACATGGAGTTAATGGGCAGATTCAGGTAACTCCAGCCCCGAGCTATAAAGTCTTTCAGCTGAAGATGGAGATGTAAACAGTGTGGTGATTTGAAAGAAAAAAAAAAAAAAGGTCCCCATAGGCTCTTAGGGAATGTCACTATTAGGAGGTGTAGCTTTGTTAGGGTAGGTGTGGCCTTGTTGGAGGAAGTGTGTCACAGTCTCTTCCTGCTCCCTGCAGATCTAGGTGTAGAACTCTCAGCTCCCTCTCCAGCACCTCGTCTGCCTGCATGCCGCCACGCTTCCCACCATGACAACAATGGACTAAACCTTTGAACTGTAAGCTAGCCCCAATTAATTGCTTTCTTTTTAAAGAGTTGCCTTGGTCATGGTGTCTCTTCACAGCAATAGACATCCGAAGACAGACAGAAACAAACCGTCTCTGCTTTCACCTGCCCGAGCTCCTGGCTCACTGGCTCCACAGTCACAAGTGGTTATGTTTTGTGATAACATGTTACCTGGCTTAGCCACTTTTCTTGTTCTTGTGACCAAACAACTGACAAAAAAAGCTCCAGGAAAGAAGGGTTTATTTTGGTGCCCAGCTTGAAGACACAGACGGCGTGGTGTCTACAGCCACGCTTGCTGTGACATCAGGAATGTAGGCAGCTCCTCACAGGCTGTGGCAGTCGGAAGCAGGAAGAACACAGCCAATCGGCTGCTTTCTGCTGTCATCTTTTTTTGTTTAGTAGTGGGTCGCAGCCATGAACGGTGTCACTCACATTCAGGGTGGGACTTTTCTCATCCTTGTATGGGACTTTTCTCATCACAGCATGCACAGGGGCGTGATCTCCTAGGTGATTACGAATTCAGTCAAGTTGACAGTGATGACGGAGCATCATACGTAGTGCCTGGTAATTCATATGGGATAGTAGCTAGACCTTTGTCATGGCTAGGGTTACTATTGATGTGAGAAAACACCATGACCAAAGTACCTCAGGGAGGAAAGGGTTTATTCGACTTACACTTCCATATCTGTTCACCGTCAAATGATGTCAGGACAGGAACTCAAACAGGGCAGGAGTCTGGAGGCAGGGGCTGAAGCAGAGGCCATGGAGGGGTGCTGCTTGCTGGCTTGCTCTTCATGGCTTGTTCAGCCTACTTCCTTATAGAACCCAGGCCCACCAGCCCAGGGATGGAACCACCCCCCATGGGCTGGACCCTTCTCCAGTGATTCATAATTAAGAAAATGCCTACAGTCAGATTTTTTTTTCGTTTTTAATTGTTTTTGTTGAGCTATACAGTTTTTCTCCACTCCCTTCCCTTCCTCCCTCTCCCCTTCTACCCTCTCCTGTGATCCTCACGTGCCCGCTTTACTCAGGGAGTCTTGTCTTTTCACCTTCCAATGTAGATCCATGTATATCTCTCTTAGGGTCCTCTTTGTTCTCTAGTTTCTCTGGGTTTGTGGCCTGCAGGCTGTTTTTTTTTTTCCTTCTGTTTATGTCTAAAAGCCACTTATGAGAGAATACATATTATATTTGTCTCTCTGGGTCTGGGTTACCTCACTCTTTTTTCTAGATTCACTCATTTGCCCTACAGTCGGATCTTACAGAGATGTTTTTCTCAATTGAGGCTCCCTCCTTTCAGATAACTCTGGCTTGTGTCAAGTTGACATGAAACTGGGCAGCACAACACTTTATTGGGCCAAACACTTAGGGGTCATCCTTCTATACACAACCAGTCTTTCCCACAAGCAAACATATTAGGTGTCTCCTGCAGTCTGGAAAATGGAGCCGGAGGTGCCGCATAGTGTTCCCCGAAACAGAGTCACCTCTTCATCAAAAAGCAGATTTGCCATATCTTCACC